TACAAATGTCTCTCCATTGGCATCGCTCACAGACAGCACCCCAACCCACGTCCACCTGAAATGCAGCAGTAGTTGGAGAATCCCTTTATACTGATGAGCCACATCTGGGAACATCTGGTGGTAGAAAACTCTCTGGGTTGTCTGCTTGGTCACTGGAGCAGAGCCATATATGAGCTGAAGAAATGAAAGGAGGACAAAAGAGCAGGAAATTTCCAAAATTAAAGGGGGAGGGATAATTCTGTGTCGTTTCATTCTGTTGAAGTTGTATGCCAAACATTAAAGAAGATTTTAACCTTGATTAAGAAGTCTGCATTTATTGAATGCTGCTGAGAATTTCATGTGTTTGTGAGGTACAAAGAGGCTGAGCATTCATGTACACCAGGATTAGGACACCTCAGACCCTGCTTTGGACAGTGTGACCTGCCAATGCTCTCAAGCTAGCCCTGGAACAACCACCCCACTAGCTCTGCTACACACCTTCAACAGAGGTCTGGAAGGAAGATTCAGAGGGGTGCCTGTAAAAAGACTTATCCTACTGTACAAAGGTAACATTTACATTCATTGCACTACCACTTTTGCCTCTCACCTCAACCATCAATTGCAGAGCTCTCAAAAGGTTGCTCAGGAGGGAATGTGGTCCTTGGGCTGGAAAATGTTCCCCATTTCTGCTATGCTTCCCCAGCTATGCTTAGAGAGAGTAGGGTCAAAAGCAACACTTCATATTAGATTACAAAATAGAACCATATTCATTTAGTTTGACTTGATTTCATTTCCAAGCAAGGAGGAACATGGCCAAGGACTCAGGATATTTGAATACTTTAATTGCTTCTACTTGGTAAAATGAGGGTCATTTTTTTGCAAGCTTGTCTTGTTTAACTATCATTTCTATGCTATAAATGGTTCTAGTTGCTACTTTTAAAGCCTTCTCATACCTGTGGTTTATTTGTTTTGGGTTTATTTTATGTCTGGATTTGTCTGACAGTGATCTATAAGTGTATATATGTTATGTATAATATCATCAGATCTTGTCTGAAAACATTGCAGAATCACTTAATCACTTAGTTTGCAGAATCACTTAATTTTTTAAAAAAAATTAATAAAACTATTCTTAAAAATTTGTTCTCTCATTCTTGCCTTTACTCTCTCATTCTGAAAAAGTGTTGAAGGATACCTTCCTCAAAAACATCAGACCTTCATTTCCCCTGTGAACTTCACCTTCATAATATGAAGGTGTCCAAGATAAGCAAAGAGAACTTTGTACTTCTTTGTACATTAACAAACATTGCTGCTTATTTACAGTTTTTCCCTGAGAAAACCTACAGTTCCTTCCATATCCCTCCTCTGAGTTTGAAATATACAAGGCAAAGAGGAAATGTAAGTCCTTAAGACAGGTTTCTTGGGACTGACATATATAGCTAACTTATAAGTTAAGTAGTGGAGCTTTCCCAGGAGGAGTGGACCTCTTCAGACTCAATGTCTATGAGAACATCAGGCTGATCCTTTCCCCTTTTACATTTAAACATTTAATTCCCTTCTCTACTGATCGCTCAACACATTAAAATAATCTGTATTCTGAAGACAAGGATATATTCAGTACTTAATTTTTCTGAATGTACAAACTGACCTTGAAAACCACCTAAAAATACTTCGAATCACCAAAGCACAAATGAAAATTACTTGTTATACTCCCATGCTCTAGTGCCTGCCATACCTGTGGGATTTTGTAGATGCGCAGGATATCTGCCATGTGGAGACAAACTTCAGAGATGGCCCCCCCAATGACAGCTACTGGATTGTTGACATTATCACATTTGTAGTTAGGGATGAATCTGCCCTGGGTGGAGAAGACCTCCATTGAGGCCTGATAGGTCCATCTTGGATTGAAATAACTATTGTAGATATGGAAGCCCAGGGTGAGATTAGGCAAAATCTTGGGATTTTCATTGATCTCCTCTACAGCAAATATCAGTGCCAGGACATGCTGGTAGATCTGTAGCATGACCCTGAAATGAGAGGATTGGAGGATTCACAAATTGTTTCCATCCCAAGGATGAAGAAACGTTGTCATGCACAGTTGGCTTTTTGACACATGGGCTCAGCCACCCAATACTATTTTGAGAGAACCTGTTTGCAAAGTTCTCATTGAAAGTTGCCTGCCCCCGTCATATTTTGGACATTCAAATTTCTTAGCGTTGGTTTTCAGAATGGCACCGGTGGATTCAGAATTTGACATTGTCTCATTTCTAAAAACATATCCATGCACACAAATTGCACCTTATAAAATGAGAGTGAGCAGAATCCTTGAACTATCAGAAATAGTTAAAAATGGACCATTTTTCTCCATGCATACCTCACCTTCAATTTAAGAACAGTGGCCTAGTTTTGATGGCTACAATAGTGAACTTTGCGCTACCTTATTTCCTTGTAAACCACTTAGAGGTTCTATTTCTATATTTCTATATAATTTTTCTGTGATCTTAGGGTTGGAGGTTGCCATTAAAAACAAAATACAAAATTTAGCTAAGTTTCGATAGAATAGAGAAAGTTCTGGGGAGATTAATTGGGATCTTATGTCCTTATTTGGGGGGGGGTGTTAAACATCAGGAGAGAACATGGGCTAATGTTTCATCTGAGCTGCTTCTCCTTGAAATATAATATGAGTTTTATGACTCAATAATTTAGCTAGCTTACTAGTAAGGGTAGCATCTCCCCTTTTTAAATAATTGTGCTTCCAGATATCGATGATCATTTTGGACTGTGGCTATTTATAATCTATAGAAGCTGGTTGTTGGGTAGCAAACTATTTTTAAGGCAAATTTTAATGTATTGAATGCCAATTATTTCAATATTTTATGTCCAAGAAAATCAGAGGCAGATGGAAGTTAAGATCACCACTGGATATCCCTGCAACACCATTAGTTGAATCACTCCTTTGATGGTAATCACAGTTTTTAGAGGTTTTAACTTTAGATCCATCTTTTCCAGAGCTCAGACACATAGTGGCCGAACAGACACTCATGGAAAGCCCACAAACCTCCATGGGATTCATAGGAGAGGCTATTTAATATATCAGGCAACACAAGCTTTGGAGAGCCATAGTCCCATTTGCAAACTTGAAACACATACCAAACACACAGGGCAACCTATTCTATCGTCTATAATACAAGGCGTCTTTCAAGATTAATTTCAGTGGAGCACGGGGGGAACCCTGTGGGCACCAGGGAAGATCTCTGGGGGTGCATGCATACCCCACAGGTGCCACATTGGTGATCCGTATAATGGAAAGTTTGAAAATCTTACAAAGTTCCATCAAAGAGGTCCATTGAGGGACATTCTATGAACGTTATTGGTTTGGAAAACATGTACATCATAGACACGATGCCAGCAATGGTGAGATCTCCTGGATGGTGGAACTTATGAAGAATAGGAAGAGGGTCACTGGTGCCACATTTGACATCTGGAATCTTGCACACTACCTGAGGTAAAAACACTAGTACTAATACTAGAAATGCCACTAACTTGCAAGAAAAAAATTCTTCTCCACACCCATTCATACTCATTATCTTCAAGCATGGCTTGAATGGAGACACAGTTGGTCTATGCACAGTTCAAACTGCACAATATAAAGTATCAATGATCAAACTGACAAGAGCCCTGACTGTCTCTAGCCCCAGCATGGAATGATACAAGGTTTATTAATAACATACCTCCTTCTTCTGTGCATGGTTTTGCTGGTGATTAGTAATTAGTACTGAAGCTCCTTTGGGACTTTGTGGAAAAGTAGGAGTCATCATGTTTAATTTGATAGTTAGGAAGAACAATAATTGCCTATTTAGAATCACAGATTCTGTGAGACAATGCGGACAACATGTTTATCTGATCTCAGCAGGTCTTCTGTGGTCTTCATCACATGGACAACAAGAGAGGCATCAGCTTGTAATAACCAAGAGCAACTGAAAAGCCCCCCAGAAAACAAGTGAGCCTGGAATAAGACTAATCAACCACAAATGACTTTTTTGCGAAGTCTACATAAAAAGTCTCATATTTAGAAGGTTTTTAAAGAAAGAAATACTTTTGGAAATCCAGGTGAAAACTTCAGTGGCCATTGAGTAACCAGTATGGTTAGATAAGAGTTGAATATATTAGCAAGAAACGCACAGGGTTGTATTCAAAGTTAGTAATGTTTAGAGCAGACCCATTTACATTAATGGAATAACTAATTTAGGTCCATGAATTCAATGGGTCTACTCTGAGTATGACTAATGTTGGATACAACCCATAGTAGCAGGCACCAGTAACATGTAGTCAATTCACTAGATTTGCAGTCTGGAGAATGATCAAGATGTGCATCTACTGAGCATACCGATAGATCCACCATCCTGCTGAATCACGCAACGAGAGCATTAATATCATATTTCATGGTGCTGCTGTCGAGAGAATAGCATGTAGATGCAACATAACTGTCAGCAGAGATAGCCAGTTTGGGGTTTAGGAAGACCTTGATCTTTATGCTGTGGCTACTGGCAGGTGATCAAAAGTAGAGGGAATGTGCAACTTCTAAGAAGAAATGAAAACCAATAGAGACAACAGATACACATGTGCAATGGAGCTCACAGACAAATTTCAGTGCGGTGGCTGTAATCTCCAGACTGCTTGTGATATGGATGTTAAATGGACTGATTTGTTCTCTAGCACATCTCAGTTCTGTTACGTCCTGCTCACTCTCACAGCTAGAGATGCAGAAGCCTATACTTGTATAGGTTTCAAAAGAGTGAGCAAAAGAAAAACACCTTAAAAATGAGACCTTAAGGAGAGGGAAATAGTATAAAATAGATTTACAAGATCTGTATTTTTATGTGGCATTAAAAGCTACCACCTGACTCACTTTTTTATACCTACAATACTTCAAAATCGAAATGTGAACCATAGACTCATAGAACTGTTGGAAGGGGCCCTGAGGATCATCTAATCCAACCCCCTACAAGAGAGGAATATGCAGCTGTTCCATGTGGGGGTCATTCCTGCAACCTTGGCATTATCAGTGCCACACTCTAACCAACTGAGCTATCCAGGTCCACAGTCATGCAGTTAACTAGAATATGGAAAAAGTCATCCGATTTATATACTTGTTGCTTTGGTAGCCCACCTTTCCTCCCAGGAATTCCAGGTAGCATATGTGTTCTGTGTACCTTCCCCATGTTTTATTCTCACAACCAGGGGTTTTTTTACAGCTGGAACTCAGTTCCAGCACCTCTCAGGTGGGTGCCATTGCCATTATAAGTTATTGAACCAATTACAGTTGCTGAAAGGCACTTCTAGCCTCTGACACTACCTGAGACTTCAGGAAAGTGCAAATTAGGTGCACTGGGCTTTCAGCGTAAACCAAATCAAATTCCCCACTCTCCCTAGAAAGAATATCACAGACCCAATCAGTTTGTATCATAGAAGCAGAGAGAGAGAAAACACTTCAGTGTGTATATACATTTATTCCTGATTGCGGAGTTTAACAAATGCAAACATATGGGGGAGAAAATAATTACTGTATTAAAATGACAGAAGATCTTTCAGCACTGCAGTTTGCTCAATTTTATTCTCTTGCCACAGAGGTCTCCTTGTTAAATACTCATCTATTTAGCACAACACATTTTCAATGTGGCCACAACTCATGCAACAGCAATGCAGCTATCCTTTTCAGTTAAAATGTGATGTGATGACTCCCAAATAAATTCACTCAAACATGTTTCTTGCAGCTATGTGAAGTCCCCGTGTTTCCTCCTGACCAAGGGATGAGGGCCACAGAATATTAGATGCCTCAATGCTTTCTTCTTCTCAGCTGCTGCTTGCTGTTCAGTTCAGGCCTAAGCACAATAATGTAGCATTTTGGGAAGAATATACACCCCAGTAAGCCAGCACTGGAAGCTAAGATGGAGAAGATCTCCACAGCCACCATGTATTTCCCTTTTGTGCTCAGATAGGTGGGAACGAAGGACAGCCAAACACTACAAAAGACCAGCATGCTGAAGGTGATGAATTTGGCTTCATTAAAACTGTCAGGCAACTTCCTGGCTAAGAAAGCTACAGTGAAGCTGACAATAGCTAGTACACCCATGTAGCCTAAGACACAGTAGAACATGGTGACTGAGCCATCATTACATTCCAGAAGGATTTCTTTAGTCATTGAGTGCATGTCTAAATCTGGGAATGGGGGAGAAGTTGTCAGCCACACACCACAAAGAGTGGCTTGAATAAAAGAGCAGGAAGAAACAATGGAGAGAGTCTGTCTTTTCCCCACCCATTTCCTCGTGGGTTTGGTGACCGTGAAAGCAAGAACCACGATGGTTGTCTTGGCCAGCACGCAAGAAACTGCCACTGAAAAGATGATGCCAAAAGCAGTTTGTCGAAGGAGACAGGTCACCTTGTCAGGCTGGCCGATGAAGAGCAGTGAGCAAAGGAAGGAGAGGGAGATGGAAAGGAGGAGGGAGAATGTGAGGCTCCGGTTATTGGCTTTGACGATGGGAGTGTCCCAGTGCTTAATGAAGATGCAAAGCACCAAAGCTGTGATGAAGGAAAACGAAAGAGCCAAAGTGGCCAGACTGATCCCCAAAGGCTCTGTATAAGACAAGAAACTGATGCATTTTGGAATGCATGAATCCTGTTCTAGGTTTGGATAATGATCTTGTGGACATGGAAAGCAGTCGTCCATGTCTGAAAAAGAAAAGTTTGGTTTCTGTACATGACAGCGTTATGTGCATTGCACTAAAATTATCAATCCCAGCATTACAACAATATGAATGAGACTTTACAGGTTCTAATCTGGCAAAGAATTAAGTGGGCTCCTCATGCAATTTGTAAGATACCAAACTATGGGATGTTGCATGGGCCACCTGGGTCTTTATGCCCACCTCCATTTTAGAAGCTGAGTCCTATGACCAAGGGTGGCTTCTCTTCAAAGATATTATCAGTTAGAAGTATGCAGAATATTTCTATTTGCCTTTCTGTTTTAGCTTATACACTTTCAGCCGTCATTCTCTTCCTTTCCATTTCTGTTATCATCTCTCTCTTTCTTAGGTGGAAAAAAACACCTCCTGAAAGTACAGGATACCCTTCCACTCCCTCTCTTATCCTGTTTTCATTCCACTTCTCCCAACATGTCAGTTTGCATTCCAACAGCACTTAGCATATTCTGTCCTTATTGGTCTTGTCTGGGAGGTTGCCTGTGCAGGTATTTTTAAAGGGATTTTGAAGTTCTGAAAAATGTAGCATTCCCAAAGCAGACTTTTCTATCTCCATTTTGTGTGTGGTTCATGTCCTTGCCCCCCACCCCCAACATAATGATTGGCACATGTGGGGCTGTGAATCCTATTTTTATCTACATAATGACAAATGTAAGGTGCTGCCCTCATATCGTTAACCAGGCAGAGGGCTTTCTCGATAGTGGCGCCCGCCCTGTGGAATGCCCTCCCATCAGATGTCAAGGAAATAAATGACTATCTGACTTTTAGAAGACACCTCAAAGCAACCCTGTTAGCGAAGTTTTTAACGTTTGATGTTTTATCATGTTTTTAATATTCTGTTGGGAGCTGCACAGAGTGGCTTAGGGAACCCAGCCAGATGGGTGAGGTAGAAAACAATCAATTTATTATTATTATTATTATTATTATTATTATTATTATTAACCACAGGTGGTTAGACCGGATGACCCTTCTAACTCTTTGATTCCAACCATCCTTAAATTCTACATAACCTTTCCAATTGATGGCTTGTGACCCCATTAGTGTCCATAGACTCTGGACATGACTTCCTTACCTGTTTGGTTGGAAATCTTCCCTTCTGGACATGGAAGGCAATCATAGCAGCAAAATGGCATCCCTTCCTTCTTTGCCTTACGATAACCCAAGGGGCAATTGTCATTACAAAGAGAAAGAGGCTGTGCCTGTCCACAGATGAAAGAGGAGGATGTTTACTAGATGGTGAAATTCTGCAGTGTTACAATGTCTACCATGTATGCTTCAACTGAAATCCCTTGGGGTCCCTCCCAATGATAAAATTCTATGATTCTATCTCATGCAGGACAGCCAATCACTGTCAGAGAAGAGAGAGCCATGCTTAAAATAATTTTCCCCTTATACTTTACAGTGATACCAGTCCTGTTTGGTTTGTCGTTCCTGTGATATTTCACTTGTCCAAGCTATTCTAGTACATTCCAGGTGCTGGGTGAGTATGGAAAAAGAGAAAAAAAATGAATATTGATGAGCCCCAGCCACTCTGGGGAATCTTGGGCCAGACAGCCTCACCTCCTCACCCATGAAAGGTGAACCATCTTTGGGGTTGGAGATTTGGCCAGTCTTCTCTAAGCACATATTTCAATGTGAGGGTCATGAGGAACAACTCTTATAGGGCTCAGAGTGTGGTTGGGTTATTACTATGGGGTATGATGGGGGCCGTATATCTATTGCCTCATGCCAGGTGGTTAACACTCACTTTGGAGGTGAGGTTGAGGCAGTTTAATAAAATCAGATCTTCAATGCAAACACCTTTGACTCTTTAATAAATGTGTAAACATTATTGAACTCCAACATTTATATCTCATCTCGTTATACTGGTATCCATGTGGAAATGTGTTGAGTTTATGTTAGGTTTCCAAAATAGCAATAAATCTGGAATTTAGAATGCAGAGCCTTCATAGAACCTTTTCTACTACTGGTAACACTTATCCATAGGATACAAAATGGGAACTCTATGCACCATCTCATATTTTGGAACACACTGAAATGCGGGTTACTATAATTTCCTGTCCCTCCGATGAAATTGGTTGTTTTTGCTTGGTTATAGTTTGCTTATAATTTTAAGCCTATTTTTATTCATTTTTTGTGTTTATACTTCTACATTTCTTGGTGATGTTTAGAAGTATGTTCAATGTATTCCTTGTAGTTTAATCCTTGATTACAACCTTTCAGGACAAATGTCTACAAATTCTTTAAATATTAAAGTTTTCCAAGGAGAATATTTTATTTGATGAAAAGAAGGGTTTGGATGGGTGAAATCACCCAACTGACACAGCAAAGAAGACCTCTGCACCCATGTCCCCATGTGTACACTAAAGCTATAGATGAGCAGAGCTATGCCAGTATCTGAACTGTTGAAAACTGAAGATGGGACTAATGAATAGCCCCCAATACATGAATGGACCTTACCTGGTTAAACCTGTTGGGCCACACAATGGTTTCCTCAGAAATAGTGAGCGCTTCTTCTTGAGGGGCCATGGGGTCTATGCTTCCAACTTTGACTCTGCAGAAAGACTGGTTTGGGAACGTGAGCCAATTCATAATATCAAATCCAGCCTCTATCTCACCATTTTCATTGAAGGATACTTTTCCTCCAGCACTAGTATTAAATGAGATGCTTCTTACAAACTGGTTGAGCTAAATTGGCAAGGAAAGAAATAGCAATTCATGAGGAAATCATGGGGATTTCAATGAATCTATCTAACGAAAAGTTTGCCCTAAGAATGACTAAAGCTGGATCCATCCAAATTCAAATTTACATTAAGATTTGTAAATTTGAATTGTAAATTTGGTGGTGGACATGCAGGAAAGTAAAAGGCTTTTGGGAACTGATCTACAATGAGCTTAAAAGGATTTTTAAATATACTTTTCCCAAAAAGCCTGAAGCTTTCCTGCTAGGAATAGTTGGCAAGGAAATTAAAAAAGAGGATAAAAATCTGTTTCTATATGCCACAACGGCCGCTAGAAATATGTTGGCCCAAAGCTGGAAAACAGAATTAATACCTACTATAGACAACTGGCAGAACAAGATGATAAATTATGTTGAACTAGCTAGAATAACAGGAAGACTAAGAGACCAGGATGACCAGAAGTTTCATGAAAATTGGAATAAATATCTGACGTATATAAGAGATATATAAGAGATATATAAGATATATAAGAGATAAGTATAGAACTTTGAGGACTCTGGCAGGGTTAGAATAACTCTAACAGTGTTTGGCAAATATGTAAAGGAGATAAAACATGTAACTTTAGAAATTATCTGATACTTATCAATAAAGTGAA